CATCAGCAAGCACTACGACCTCATCCGTGAGCTTGGCAAGGGCACCTACGGCAAGGTGGACCTGGTGTCCCACAAAAGCACAGGTGAGGGGAGCGCGGGAGGGGGAACAGGGGACTTTTTTTTTCCCAGCATGTCCCAACCATGCTCTAGGCTCACCTCCATCCTCTGCCCACCGCAGGCACCAAGATGGCCCTGAAGTTTGTCAACAAGAGCAAGACAAAATTGAAGAACTTCCTGCGGGAGTTCAGCATCACCAACACGCTCTCCTCCAGCCCCTTCATCATCAAGGTCTTCGACGTGGTCTTTGAGACTGAGGACTGCTACGTCTTTGCTCAGGAGTATGCCCCTGGTGGGGACCTCTTCGACATCATCCCACCACAGGTGGGAGCCCCCGTGTCTCCCATGGGAGTCTCCGCGCCTCCTGTGGGAGCCTTTTTAGGGTGGGGGGATGCTCAGTATCCCTGGGGTGCTGAGCAAAGTTGCCATCGTGCTTCGGTGGCTGTGTCAGAGGGGGTCCCATACGTGGGAACTGGGACATCCCTGTATAGGTCAGCACTGACCACAAGCACTGATGAGCAAGTCTGGCACCCATCGCCCATCTCCTGGGGTTGCCTGAGACCCATCAGTCTCAGATTCTCAGATTCACTCCTGGGGTGGCTCTGGAACCATCGCCCATCCCTGGAGTGGTCTGGGACTCATCACACTTCCCTAGGGTGGCCTGGGACCCATCATCCTTCCCCTGGGGAGCCTGAGACCCGTCACCCATTCCTAGGATGCTCTGAGACCTATTACCCATCCCTAGGGTGGCCTGGGACCCATCACCTTTGCCCTGGAGGTCCATCCCCTTTGCCCGGGAGGCCCATCACCCATCCCTCAGGTGACCCCCCACCTGTCTCCCTGCCACAGAGAACACCCCAGATAAATGCAGCTGTGACCACGTCAGATGTGTAACGGCACAGAGATACGGTGGTCCCTGAGCTGGGTGGGATCCCCGAGGGGTTCAGTGGCAGGTGGCTGACTCCATGTCCCCATGCCCGCAGGTGGGGCTCCCCGAGGAGCTGGTGAAGCGCTGCGTGCAGCAGCTGGGCCTGGCTCTCGACTACATGCACAGCAAAAGCCTGGTGCACCGGGACATCAAACCGGAGAACGTCCTGCTCTTCGACCGCGACTGCCGCCGCGTCAAACTGGCCGACTACGGCATGACCCGCAAGGTGGGCTGCCGGGTCAAGCGCAGCAGCGGCACCATCCCCTACACGGCACCCGAGGTTTGCCAAGCCGGCCGGGCGGAGGGCTTTGCCGTGGACACCAGCATCGATGTCTGGGCTTTCGGGGTGCTCATTTTCTGCGTCCTCACCGGGAACTTCCCTTGGGAGGCAGCGGCGG